GCATCTAATGTGCAGTGTTTTGTACTAGTGTTGGTTGCCATGAGGACCACTTAACTAGATGGCTGGAGCGTCAAGATGTTTATAATGTATGCACCATTTCATGTATGTGTAATTCCTTCCCTTGTTTAGTGGTCCTGACTATTGTATAAACAAAGTACGTAGACCTTTAGAGCTGTTGCCAAACTATGTGCATGACTTAATGGCCTTAAAGTGTGTGTACGTGTGTGTGTTACCTCCTTTAGTGGTGTCATTTTGTGACTGGATGCCATGCTGAATACTGGAATGAATGGCTGATAACAGGTCAGCTGCCTGAGCCACAAGCTTCTGGGCCTCACCCACTGAGCTGGTCTGATAAAAATACAAACACAAACAACAACACAGAGAAAAACAAACTATTCAATACACAAGTGTCTGTAAGTGCACATAATTTTGATAATATAATCTAAGTTCTAAGATTTATATATGTTGTAAATGGCTTAAAAATACACATAAATTGATCGAATTCAAGACAAATTATTACTATTATTATGACATTACTCTTAAATGTCATTTTAGCTGCATACTACTATATTACAGTTATACTATTGCAATTTTCTGTGTCTGTTTGAGTGTGTATTACCTCTTTCTTGGTAAAGGCAATCAGTGCAGTCAGTAGAAGGCGTGTGAACTTGATTCTATTGAAAAGTGCCAGGCACTGCTGGTGCTGGGGAAAAAAAGCATGGGAAAACATTACAGCGCTATTAATACATGTTTCCTAAATAGTCTTTAAAGCTACACAAGAAACAAAAACTACAAAGACTGACTCTTATTTTAGTTTTGGCCACACAGAAAAGTCCATTTTTGGGTCTGACTTGTTCCATCTTTTATTATCATTACTATAAACAAACAGCTGGAAATTCCAGAAAAGATTCTCTGAAGGTCATTTGAGTCCCACACTGTGACAGACGGGCGATAATAAAAAAGACTTAGTGGGCAGAGACTCAGTGGGAGTGTTCAAGGTTCAGTTGATGACTGAAATATGAGGAAACGAGGCAAAATTAATAAAGAATAGAGACAATCTGTTTAACTACCTTACGGACAGATTGTCTAAATGCTACTCCAAGACATGCTCAGGCAAAAAAAAAAAAAAAAAAAAAAAATGAATAAACAAAAATCTGCTGCTATAACTCCACACGCATGGAGGAATGATTATATTTACCTCTAGCTCAACCTGCGGGTTTCGCTGCTCACCCTGTCGACTGCGCGTACTCTGAGAAACCAGAAATAAACGGAGAAACAATGCATGTCACATTGAATTGGCAGTATTTCATCAAAATGTCAATGACTGAGTCCTAAAATGGTCAACAGCAAATACCTTAACTCTCCTCTGTAACTCATCCTCCACATCTTTCAGCATACCTAAAAGAATGACCACATGAGAGAGAGATGAAAACAGCTACCTTTGTTCAACTGAACTAAATGTTTCTGAAACACATACAATTGTCTGCAGTATATGTGACGCTGCAGACTTCATGAAGCATCACAATGCTCGTACCTGTCACACGCAAGTCTGTCACATTGTTGGCCATCTTGAAGCCATAGGTCATGGCCTGGAAGTCCTCCTACAAATCATATATCAATATCACACTGAGTTATCCTATTACAATTGTTACCCTTTTTAAACAACACAAATTTTACCACACATATCTGTGAATAAAATAATCCTCTCCAGGTAATAAAAGGCTTTATTTATTTAGTTATAGTTTCACTGAGAGGTAATCTCTCACCTGGAAACTGACCACTACAACCACAGTCTGTACTAGTAGCTTGAAAGCTGACTGAGCAGCTCCAGAATACCACAAATATGTAAATGCAGGAGGAACAAGACCTGCTTTTTCACTTTCCCATCTGAATTTTATCCTGCCATTTGAAAATGTCACCTTCTCTAACCCTTAGGCCCGCACTGAAATATACAATGCCACAGTAGGCACACACACTAAACGACTGGCTTACCTCTTCAAACACAGCAGCCTTATTGACCTTCTCTCGGGCGATGTCGCACACCTTCAGCATGCCCAGGGCAAACGCTTTCAGAGCTGGCTCCTCAATCAGGTCAGGGTTATGGACGTATAGGCAGGTAAAAACCGTCTGGGCCAGAGAGTGACCCTCCAGCCATGTTATCTAGACATACACATGTATGAAAACACATGAGGATTTGATTTCCTGCAGTGTTGATCCAAAATTTGACAGGTTGTCATTAACATAAGAAGAGTTTGGTTTACAGTTCAAACTGGTTTCCTGATAAAACTGCGAAACCAAATAAAACCCACCAAACAGCAGAAACATGTGTCTATGATTCCGATGAGTTCAGGAAGACTGAGGTCTTTCACTTTGATGGCCCCTTCCTGGAAATAACAAAACAGAGCAATACAGATGACTTAGAACAAGGTGATTAACTGTACCTTTTATATTCAAACAAATTCAACTAGACAAAGCAATGAGATGTATATACGTTTACATTTAAGAACTTTGGCTTTCTGTCTTTATTCCTGACAATTCGCTGTTTCTATCAAATGACAATAAGAGGGTAGTACCTTAATAGCTTGTTCAAAATTCAGCACTTTCCTGTTGACCTGGTTTCCAATCATTCCTGCGTCCATCTTAGGATCCATCATCTCTATAGCTGACATGGCCTCAAACAGGCCAAACCTGCACCACAAAATAAAGCTTAGTGTGGGTTTTGTATGTAACAGCTAATAGAAATCTCAGCATGGGTTAATTCAAATGTGTTTGTACAAAAAAAAGAAGAAAAAAAAAAGAGAGAAGGATTCCGTTTTTCATTGCAATTACTCTTTTACCATAGCTGTGGACTATGGGACATGAAAACTCTCTACGGATGTTACAGAGGGCAAGTAGATTGTCTCTAGTGATCTAGCAGTAAGTGGAAAATGTTATTTGTAATTTGAGTGAACTGACCCTTTAAAATATGAGCCTGCAAGAAGCACTTTGTCATACTCACAGTTTGTCATGAAGCAACTCTCCAAGGTTCAACTCTGCATAAATAAAAGATGAGAACAAGGAAAGAAAAGGAGGAAGACGTCAGTCCCTTTTATAACTGCATACATATGACCCAGTTACCAGTAGTCACTATCACAGCCTTTACCTTTGCAGGCTCCCTTGAATTCATGCGTAATATCAACCCAATTGGCATTGTTCTTCATCTTTTCTGGGATTCCCAGCCCCCAGCCAGTATCATCATCCTCAACTGATGACTTCATCACCATGGTGACCACTAAAGACAAAGAAAGAGAACCAGGACAAGGTTTTCATGTGCTACAAAACATCAACTATTGCAAAACAAATCTCAAAGTCTTTCAGTGGTCCAGCCAGTCATGTTTAACCAGACATTTTGCCTTGACTAGTAAAATTAATAATGGCTTTGAATAATCTGGATATGACAGTCAGCCATAGCAGGAAAGTATTAATAATGATAATAAAACATCAAAACAATTACTCCTTTGGAAAATGTAGTTATGAATCTTGATATCTAAACCTGTGTTTAACAATTTAAAGTCACCACAGTAGGAGAAGTCTATGTCACAACACATCTTTGCTTTGCGATACAACATGTCAAAGTGACCTCTGAAATGAGCCAACAAAAACAACACTGCATGTTTACTTTTCTTAAACAGAAAAATACACATTTACATTCTACCTATCAACTGCTGCATTCCTTTACTTTCTCTACTGGTCATTTCAAAGGTTAGTTGGCAAACATCCTGCTTACTGTGTAAACTTTAACATACAGTGTAACTGGCACGGTCAGGTTAAAAGTTAATCTCTATCTTTGTGTGTACGCTGAGCAGCCATTGATGTTGTAATATTCCAGTGTTGTCCAATGTAAATACACATTTAAGGGTCAGTCATAACTGTAACTCCTTGCATGTCAACAGTACATCCACGCTGCACACCCCTATTTTGTCTTACAATACGTTTCTGCACGTTCGCAGAAAATTCTTAAACATCTCTGTTTGAGACTAAAACTCGACTAGCAGACGTCTGAAAAGGCAGACATGGCATTATGATCTGAAGCAACAATAGAGGATTAATACCATGCTCTGTGAGCTGACTTGGGACAAGCTAAAGCCTAAAATGGTGTAAATTTCACAGTTGAGTGCACTGGAAGGTGTCAGCCTTCCAGTCCAAGAACATGTTAGTACTGTTATCGGTAAAGGAAAGTTGGCTCCATTTCGGTATGACTGGTAATTTGTCTTTAATAGGTGAAGATGTATTGGCACAGCTATGTTTAGTGAGGCAGAAACTGAAACCACTGATTGATATCACCTCATTACATGCAGTGTAAAGAAGACACTAATGCCTGTCACATTATTTGCATTTTTTGGCATTACTAACACCAGTGCCAGGTGTTCACCTACATTTATAGAGTTTACAAAAACACTGGACGAGGTTACAAGGCGGCAATAAATTAAAAGACGCGAGATTATGTTAGCTAGCTATCATCAACGTCAAATTAGCTAGCTTCTAATACCGTGTGCTAACAAGCTAATGTAAACCACAGTATGTTTTTGAGAGCAAAGCCCGAATATGGACATTTTAATAGGTTATTCAACTTGATGCGGCATACAAAACACAAATACTGTTATTCGAAAGCCATATTTTCGTTGTAAACCAGCACCTACCTCAATATTTTGTATAAACCATGTAGCTAATGAAGATGCCTTCGAAGACTGTGAAGCTTGGCACATAAATTCTACGTCACCGACCGCTATCAACCTGGGAAATGTAGTCCGTGTAAGACCTGAGCTCCAATTAGGAGCTTATAGCTTAAAATCTAGCCAATGTAGGCATAATGTTATGCTTTGTTGAACGTTGGAGGATGCACTTGGCTCATTTAGGAGCTTTCCATCGCCAGCCTTAGTGTTTCTAAAGCCGCACAAACAGTCGCAGCTACTCTCGCGTTGTCCACCACAGACCCTCTGACAGTTGGTCTCATCACAACATCATCAGGGCGTTTCAGGCAACGCTCGGATATACAGCAGCTGCCTCCCCCTTTATCTCGTCTCGGAATTGTTCCACCCTGAACGGGACAACAGTTCCTTTTCATACAGGTTCGTAAAATCCTCCTTTTTGTTCTTATTATAGGGGTTTATTGTTTTAGCTAACACCGCTTGTGCGCTCTGTATTTGGCGTTGTTGTTAGCCTATCCCCCGGTTAGCTAGCCTGCTGGCGCAGACAGGCGGCCGTTACTGAGTGACTAGTCCAGCAGGTGCAGCAGCCTCCAGCTTCAGCTAGGTTGTCCAATTTAGCATCTTGTAAAATAGCCTTCTCTTCCTGTTTACCTCGCTAACAATAGCCTACTGATAGTGACAACCCCCACGGGCTGGTGTAATAAGAGTAGCGACCATGCTTTTCTTAATGGATTTTAGATTGTGGTCTGTGGAAGCACAGACAGCCCGACAGGCTTGTTTCGGCCATCTGTCCTGTCTAAGCCGACCTCCATAACATGTCAGGTCTAAAACTGATTTGAAGAATGCTTCAAACGTATGTGATCTGACCTTTTGCTACATATGAGCTCCCCCTCAGCCATTATGTATCAAGGCGTGACCTTAGACTGCAATAGCCCATCATCCATCCTTTATCACTGCACAGGTAGAGCCAGATGACAGCATCATGTGAGTGTGCAAGCTTTGGAACAGCCTGATTGAGGACTCGAGGTTAGCCAGCTTAGTTTGAAGCTTTGTTTTACTTGAATTGACTTGCAGCATCATTTTTTCCCCCGTGGGATACAAGTGTTTACTGTTATTTGTATGGCGTAGGGTTTTATTATAAGGTATTATTATGCCATATCAGAAAACTACCTTGTAAAAAGAATGTTGCAAGGACTGATAGTTTTAAAGCAGTATTGCTCATGACTCATCTTATCTCAGCCAAAACATGCTCCTGTATTTACTGTCTGACCTCATCTAAAACACTTGGGAGAACTCTAAACAGCTTTCTAGTCTTTTTTTTTTTGTGCTGAATGAAGCTGCCATAAGTTTTGGCGTACTGTTTGATGTAATGCAGTTAAATGCTATTTTTTTTCCCTTCCAAACCTTGTGTTCAAATTACCTTGGCTGCAACTCTTTTGTCTCTAGACATTTGAGATCTACAGCATGCCAGACAGCCCCTTTGTTTTGTGTAAAATCAATCAAGAGGTACTGTGTATCTGATAGTGCTTCCATCCTGGTACAGTCAATATGATCTGCAGGTTGTTCCTGCACGCACTGCCAGGCAGGTACTCTGTCTAAACAGTTCACTAGTTTGTTACAGGGCTGTGACATATTATCAGACAGATACAGTCACAGTCATGAGCAGTTTAGCTTTGTTGTCAGCTGCTTTAGTCATAGTTGCAGTTGCTGACTGTAGCCTGATATTACAACAGAGGGAGTCCAGCGGGGTCTCCTTTGGCACGCAGGGCAAAGGTTGATTACACTTGTGTCTATAAATGTACAAAAATGTTTGTGCTTCTCCTTTTTTTTGTCAGTGAGATCTTTATTTTCTTTCCCTTGCAGACGACATGAAATGTTGATGTGGTAAAAATGAACAAACCCAAAATGGCCACAGAGAAGGGGTGAGTTGCTTTGCTGTGCTAAGACAAACAAATGTGTTTCGAATGCATGTACAAACACGCAACCGGGTTGTGCATATGTTTCTGTGTGAAAGCTGTTCTGACACAGCCATCTGTTCACATGCAGTGCTCTCTATCTCTCAATGAGCACTTGCTTTTTTATTTAGCTTTCATCCATGTGACCAACACAATGTGTTTGTTTAGGCTCCGCGTTGATGTTTTCCTTCGTCCATTCTTTCATTATGTTTTCCCTCATTCTTGACATTTTTTTTCTTAATTTGTTTCTGGCACACACTTTTGTCTCTCTCTGTCTGAATGCCCCTCTCCTTATTTCTCTCTCTCTCTCTCTCTCTCTTTATAAGGACATAAGAGAAATTTTTTGCTCCACTGGGTACAATCAGAGTTTTGATTCTCTCCCCAGTGTTTGCCGTTGCTGTACCAACTGACCTCTGACCTCGTGTTTCCAGCTGAGTGCCACTGAGCTAAGATTATAAGAGGAGGAAGGCTCAGTATTCCAGAAATAGCGAAGCGCTCGGACACAGCCTTAATAGTCAACTTTATTAAAATGATTAATTCCAGATAAAGTCAGACTAAAGCTCTACCTAAACACTGGTTGCTGATTCGTATTTGTTCTTGGCTCTGCACTGTATTACTGATAAGGCTGTTTCTGTTGGTTACCTTTCTTTTTTTGGCCAAGTCATCGTATTTGACTCACTGTGTCCATATGAGGTCATTTGCACAAATGAGGCGATGTTTTATATTTGTTCTCCAGTGTCACCCGGTGCTAACTACTGCTCCTACAGCTCTGGGCATGGACGACCACCTGCTTATTTTGATTACATACAACAGGATTTCCTTGTTCTTCCTAATCTTGTGTCTGTCCATTTCCAGTGTTCCCAGTAACTCCAGGGTACTGATGCTCCTGGGCCAACTAGAGAGGATGAATGGAGAGGCCATGGTGAGGGATGTGGAAACGGCAAGACAGGTCACTACAAAGATCCTTCATCTCATACAGACGCAAGGTGAGAAAATACATGTATCCACAGATACAACATGTAATATAATGTCTGTGAAGATTCTCAGTCATCCAGGTTATGGTTATTCTCGTGGATCAATCGTAGCAACTGGACTTGCTTGAGTTCCTTGAAGACGTTTCACCTCTCATCCAAGAGGCTTCATCAGTTCTGACTGACTAGTTGGGAGTTCCAGATGTAATATAATGTGTGTATACCAACTGAAAGAACAGAAAATAATACATTTTCCTTTTGCTTATGCATTTCTTCAGACACCAAGGAGTCTGTATCTGTTTCGTGGTGTTATCTTTAGCTAAATGTTACTGTCTGCTGACTTGCATTACTTGCTTTTTTTAATCTTTCAAAATGTTTTCTCCTTGCCAGTGTTGTGCACAAAAACACAATGTCATATGTAAAAACCTATTCAACAGTTAAACATATTCTGATTCTGTTTTCTCTGATTCCGCTATCAGTGAGCAGTCCTTGCCTTAAATTGCAATGCTGGCAGTGTCTCACACTTGCATAATATAAATTCGTTGCAATATGTTGTGATAAATAGTGTTCTTAGCAATTTGCAAAACAGTAGGCTGGGTTCAAGTGTAAAGAAATGGAAAAATGAAGGAGGCGTAGCTCACACCATACGCTACCTCACAGTGTCTGGTCAGATTGTGGTTTCAGGCTGCTATTGGCTGATCTGCCTGGTGTTAGGAACAGACCCTAAAAGGCACAGATAGCCCGTATAGAGATTTAAAACAGTTCTCCATAGAACGGTGTCAAATGTAGCTGAATAAAAGGTGTCTTCTATTTTATTCTACATGTTTTTTTCTTGGGCTGCAAGGTGGAGCGGTGGTTAGCATCGTTGCCTCGCAGCAAGAAGGTCGCTGGTTCATGTCCCAGTGAGGACACCCAGGATCTTTCTGTGTGGCGTGTACATGTTCTCCCCGTGCAGTGTGGGTTCTCTCCGGGTTCTCCGGCTTCCTCCCACAGTCCAAACACATGTTGAGGTTAATTGGTGATTCTAAATTGTCCGTAGGTGTGAATGTTAGTGTGCTTGGTTGTCTGTCTCTAAGTGTAGCCCTGTGATAGACAGGTGACCTGTCCAGGGTGTCCCCTGCCTTCGCCCTAAGTCGGCTGGGATAGGCTCCAGCCCCCCCGCGACCCTAGTGAGGATTAAGCGGTGTATAGAAAATGGATGGATGGATGGATAGTTTTTTGCTTGTCAAACTCTTGTGTCTACATTACCTGCATTGCAACACAACAGATGCCAGTTTGTTCAGAGGTACAAGCTATTGAGGCCCAATAAACATCTTCCCATCTACACACCTTTTGTCACATATTCAATATTATTCCCCCACACCTATAAACAGTCTCAATGTGTAAAATTAGCATAATTCCCCTTTAAAATGTCTTCATATGCAGCACCAGCTTGTCAGGTCGAGTTGATTGATTCATTAAAGACTTGTTCAGTGCATTTGCTGTGTAAATAGAGATGGGCTTGTGCAGCGGTAGTCAAGGTGTGGATAGATTGATAGTGTCCCCCCCCAATCTCTGATTACTCTTTGAAAGGAGAGCAGAGAAGAAGATCTCACAGCAGCAGAAGAAGGCATTGTGCCACATCAGTGTCGAACACACTGAAACATGAGTGTGTGTCCGATAGCAGGGAGCCTCTCTGCTCGGATGAATGGAAGTCTGTGATGCAAAAATCATTGATTTCTGGTAATTAGTTATTAGTTGTAGTAATTAATGGATTTGTCACACAAAATTACAGGTTTGATTATTGTTTATGTCAGTTGTCAAGCAAAAGTGATGAGAAAACTTCTCAACTGGGAGAATTTGCTGTTTTTCTCAGTTTGACATCAGTGTAAATATAATATTTTTGTATGTTAGACTGTTGGTCACACAAAACAAGCATCAGAAGACACAGTCTCTGGCTTTTTGAAATTATAAGCTGTATGTTTCACTACCTTGGTACCCTTCATAGACTAAACTATTAATCAGTTAAGTGAAAAAAAGACATCAAATATTAACGCATTAATTGAAAATGAAACGCTGATACTTGCAGAGAGGTGATGCATGCAGCCATTACTTAATTAAGATCCAGGCATTTCAGTCCATAGCTTGAGTATTAGAGTTGCCCTGGAGCTAGTTGTTTGCAGTTAGCTGCATTTTCAATGTGGATTTTTTTAACGAGAACAACTTGTAATCCGTCAAGCCTCAGTGGAATTTTTTATGAAGGTGTGCCGTGAAGGAAAAAACAAAATTCTGCTGAATCATTATTTTGCACCTGCTGGCATAATTTGAACTTTCTTTGAACTTCTTCCTTCTCACTTTTCTCGAATTTCATATTTCCTCTTCCTATAATTTGTTGCTTCCTCCCCCTTGAAGGTAAAGTCGTAGTTAATCCATCATGACTGAAGGGCACGGTGGAAAGGCTTCTGTCTGTGACCCTATCAATCATGATACATCAGCTGTTCCTCTCTCATTTGGCGCTTGGCTTTCAGTCACAGCCTGCCTGCAGCTTCAACTTAAAATGTGCGAGTGTGACGTTGGTTAAGAGAGAGGTGGGGCGGGGTGGGAGGCTCTGTGACCCTGTTCACAGTAACTATACACCCCAGGACGGACTTTGCTGTACTCTTGTCTCAAGTTCAGAGTCTTAGGGGCTTAAGAGGCAGTCAAGAGATACCACGAGGAAAAGTAAGGAAAAGTCAGGTGTTGCAAGTGGGGCAGCCATGAGCTCGAATATCTGCTGAAAAGATATTTAAAAATAACACACACAAGAAAAAAAAATCACTCCACACATCATACCAGGTTTGGTTTGGTTCAGTGGAGAATGAAATGAATCATAACAGAGCACAGTTTTCTTTTTGTCTCGCAAATTTAGATTTCGTTCAAGATACCCTACCCCACCCCCCTCCAGCCCACCCCCCCTCCAGAGGTATCTTACACACTTGTCAGTTTTCTATAGGAGCAGTCTGTGGTTGAGTTTCAGGTAGCGTGCAAAGGGAGGTGCTGATTACCAGCTTCATAAAGTCCCGCCTCTAAACGCAGCATGTGGGCATATCTTTAAAGACTAGGTGGTTTGGAGAAAGTTTAAGTGGACTTTAGGATTAAGCGGAGTTTACGTCTAACTTTGGAGCAATAGAGAAATATCTGTGAGGCTTTAAAAGTAGCTCACCTTTTTGCGTCATATGCAAGCTTTTTGATTCACAAGTGGAAGTGACTCTGAGATTGTGAGAATTCTTTCGACTCAAAGCTTCAGTGAGCTTTGAGACATTTGTTATGAAATGGAGTACCTCTACACCAGGAAATACTATCGATCGGTGGACTACTTGGACCCACCAGGTAGGGTTGAGAATTACTGAAACTGTGTGAGATACATTAACTATATCTCACTTGTCTATGATGGCAGTTCAATGAGGACTTCAAACATTTGGCATATTTTAATTATTTCTAGTCGAATGAGGGACGAAAGTTAGATCAGAACAACTATTCTGATTTCTTCAACCTCCACAGTTCAGTTCAAAGTCAGGCTTTGGTGACAAATAGCTACAATAACTAGAATAAATGATGAGGTGATCAGGTCATCATGCATCTTCAAGTTTAGTTTATTCTTATGAAAACACATTTTTACAGGAAAAATGTAATCACGGCAAAATGCAGCACATAGATAAAAAATTGCAGCAAATTACTGTTCTATTTTTTTTTTTTCAAATGAGGTGCCCGTGTGTATCACCCCCCCTCGTCGTTTTCTTTTTGAGGATTGGTGTTGAAGTGCCACTTTGTTTTGAGGAGCTTTAAAAAGTCTGGTATGACAGAAATGTTTTAAAAGGCCACAGAGGGCACTGAAGTGTGTGCGTTTTTGCATGTGTGCGCACCCGAGTGCACGTGAATACACATTGCTTGTATTCCAGTTCCATAATTTTAACTTTCACGCGCTTTTGGGCGAGAGATCGTAAATCATTAAAGCTGCGTCCACATTTTATCCCCGCACACCGGCTGTCTTGATGTGTTTCCAGTCGGTGACAGCATGTCAGACACACAAACCCTCTCACATGTGTAAGATCATCAACAAGTGATATAAAGTCAACGCTTCTGTCGCAAAAGAAATCTTAAGAGCAGTGTTGTTGTAACAGTAAACATTTATTTTTATTTCGTATGTTAAGATGTTTTCTGTTTTTTTTCTGAGTTTCTAGAAGCAATTTTTCAAAGACAAAAGAAGAATAGTATGTACTGAAGTCTAAGTATCTGTTCCCTCCTGTTTGTCCTTTATTTGTGTTTGGAAAGCTTATGTTCAGGACAGGATCAATGCTGTGCCTCTTCAAAGTCAGGAATCTGTCAGCTCCTAAATTACAGGGTCAGCACAAGGTGTAGGAGGTGTGGAGATGTACGAAGAAAGAAAGAAAACAGAGGGAGAGTAGGGTTTGTAACAAGACCTCTCAGCCTTTTTCACCTCTTGTTGAGAGTTCCTAAGAGGAGAATTATTAAGGTTCTGTTATGCATGAAGAAATATAATGTAAAAAATGGGCTAAAAATACAGTATATGTTTATTTTAAATTGACTTTTTCTGACCACAGCTAACCCAGTATAGTGGATTTCACACATTCTGAGATAATATAAGTGTCATTGTGACTTCAAACATGGACAGAGCAACCTGCTGGACACAACAGCACTGACTTTGCTTGGTTTGGTTGGTTGGTTGTTTGGCTGTTTATTTTTTACGCTTTACTTCATTGTGTGTTCCAGAGAAGAGTGGAAAAGAAGTCATGTCCAAAAGCTCCAGTGGCATGGAAGTCATCCTGGCTTCTCTGGAGGTCAGCACACTCATCAGCACACCGACAAAACATTTACAAAGCTTACCTTGTAAACTAGGTTTAATAAAGGAATGAAGTGGTTCCTAGTAAATGGAACTACTTTTCTTACTCATCCAGTCAATCAAACCCTTAACTGAAGTTGCTGAAGATAATTTGTAGCCTGAGATGATGAATTTGAAGGGAAACATGTGCTTTAACAATGACATCAGAGAAACACAAGCTATACATTTTATATGTAATTGTGAACCCATTAGGTTGAAATAACACCAATTGCAAAATACTATGAAACCATGACTTCCTAAAAAGAAAACCACATGCCTCCCTTTTAGACATTATTGTTGCTGATCGTGTAGACATCCACAATTTGAGTGTTCGCTAATATCTGATATAACAGCCTCACGCATTGCTTTATGAAATAGTTCCTCTTGTTTTCTTGCAATGGGTTTAATTCACTGGATGCAGTCATTAGTCTAGTTCTGAAAGCTGCAGGTCTCCATCTTAAACAGCAGCTCTGCAGCTGATGTCACATCGATCACTGTGTGTGCTGAGGATTAGACTGCACACCCAAGATGGATAACATCAAGTAGATTAGCAAGAAGTAGTTGCACACATTTCTTGAATTTACTGTGCTAAATATTGTTTTAACAAGTGTCCTGTTGGTGACTTTGACAGAATACCAGGGATGTCCAGACCACACTGAACATCCTGTACATTCTTAGTGAGCTGCTAACTGTGGGTGAGTAGAGTTTCTCTTTTTTGTCCAACAGTGAAAAGCCATTTGTGTCTTGATTTTGAGAGTTGAGCAGGCAAAGTCATCACTTTTAAATGACTGTGAAAAGTGGTAAACTTATTTTAAAGACATAAACATTTCATTTTGTCACTCTAATGAATGGTGAGTGAAAGTGATAAGAAATTTAACTAAATAAATGATGCCAGTGTTTTTGCCATGTGGTTCTAATCCTATCCTGAATTATGTTTCATCACAGTTAATGCTGTTTTTGTTTTCTGTCTTAGGCCGAGGTCGCAGGGTGGGAGTATTTGTGTCCAAAGGAGGAACAGGAATATTATTCCAGATTCTGATCACTGCCAGTAAAGATTTACCTCCCAGTGAGGAACTCATGCTGCAGCTTCACTCCCTGCTGGCCAAGGTTGGCCCCAAAGGTATGCTTAATGTCACAGTGTAACACAAACACACACTGATACACAAACTGTATAAGCTGCTCATGCTTGTTGCTTCGCAGTTCCATTCGCCATTTATCCCTATCGAGGGCATCATCAGAGATTAGCCCCCAATCTGCTAGGTCCCCTGACACCAGCTCCTCCCATGTTTTCCTGGGTCTCCCCCTCTTTCTTTTTCCGACGACATACAAGTCCCTGATTTTGTTGATGAACTGAATACTACAGTAGACATGTCCGAACCATCTTAGACGGTGGTACCAGATCTCTGAATGAAGATCAACGAGGCCTAATTTCATACGAAGCTCACTTGAGCTGATGTGCACATCAGGCTTGATGTGGTACATCCAGCTCAGCATGGATTATAACACATTTATTTTAGCAATATTTTAAATTGTATGTCATTTTTCTTCACTGACTTTGCTGGCATAAAGCTACATGTAGTGGTGCATTACACCCACGTGTAGATCAGTGGAATAGCTTGAAACTAGCAGCGGGATGTGAATGCTCCTACATATGGTGACACACATACGTGTGTGTCCTTGGCTGCCTTCCAAGTTGTACATTTTTTCTTGTCAGTTTGTACTGCAGCTGTCTTCACAAAGTGCAGACTGTTGCATGTAGTTTGCACACAGTTGGGACACTCTACTTTGACGTATTAATGCACCTTAAACCTTGACTGACTCGTTCATATATCCATCGCAGTCAGCAAGCAAAATGAGCTGTCATCTGTCTGTGTACACTCTGCAGATGAGGCTTGTCTACACTTACATGAGACACAGTAACTGCACAGAGGATTGTCAGAAAAAATCATGCTGGTTTGCATAATACAAAATGTGACTTAGTTTATCAAATAGAGTTTGTCACAATGCATTTAATATGTTATGTATTGGGACATACTTAATCTTTCTTTGTCTCATGGGTATTGGAATGACCTCTTGTGTGATCAAAGAAGGAAAGAAAGAGACAAAACACTGAAATCTAGTGTTTATTTTCTGAATACTGACGTCGCAGCTTCTGTGTGTTCAGACAGAAAGTTTGGTGTGAAGGCACGTTTGAGTGGAGCTCTGAACGTCACCATCAACTTAATGAAACGGAACCTACAAAATACCAAACTTCTTCTGCCCTGCCTGCAGGTTCTCAGAGTTTACTCTACCAACTGTAAGTAACTCATAGCTGTGTGAAATACACTTGTCACAACTTTGCCTGACTCTCTTGGAGGTCAAGCAGGTCAAGAAATACTACACAATCTCTGACAGCACACTGATAAAAATCCTCATAATATATTTACTCTGTTATCTATTTAGTTGCAGTTTGTCTTTCTTTTTTTTTTTTAGTTTTGACCGATAACGTGTCTCTTTTGTGCCTGTTTATATAAAGCGGTGAATGCTATTTCTTTGGGCAAGAATGGTGTGGTCGAGCTGATGTTCAAAATTGTCGGCCCTTACTGCAAGAAGAACACAAGCCTGCTCAAGTGAGTGTTCGTCTCTGTTAATTAGCCAGCATAAAATCTGTGTTAAAACAAACCAGTGACATGCCCAAGCTACATCTCCTTGGCTTCTTTCCAACAGAATTTTTTAACATCTGTCATTGACGTTTGTGCAACAGACCGTGTAAGCCATTTGCCTTGTTTCCAAATCAACAGGGTAGCTCTGGACGCCCTGGGAGCACTGCTCAAATCCAGTGAGTAATTTGCTTTCTCACATTGACTTTTGACTCTTCAGTAGTTTAGTGATCTTTAATTAGCGTTTGTGTCCATGCAGTTCATTAATCCAAGTCATTCATTCATTAATCCGTTATCCATGATTGATTCTCTGTTTTGCTCTGAAGCAAATACTGTAATTGATCGTTCAACATGGATTTCAAGTTGCTTAACCCTCCAGCTTCCTCTTGTATACAGCTCACAGTTTCACTCATTGTGCTTCTCTTCCTTCTACAGCTACAAAGTGATGTGTTTCACTGCTTTTTTTCCTGCTTATTTTTCTTCTATTACCCTGTGCAGAAACTAATGCTCGTCGTGCAGTGGATGGCGGCCATGTGCCTGTCTTGCTTGCTCTGTACCTGGATTGGCATCGCAATGACACTCGGCATCGCCACATGCTGATTCGCAAAGGGCTGCTGGTCTGCCTCAGGAACATCACCAACATCAAACTGGGCAGAAAGGCGTTTATAGAGGCTGATGGCATGAGGATCCTCTACAACTCATCGACTGTGAGTGTAGAAAATAACATCTGAACGGCAAGTAATTACTCCACACGCATGCCGGCTCTCAGCTACTTTTCTACTCTCCGTGTGGGTTTGTTTCCAGGAGTGTCTCCCTGTGCGAACTCTGGATCCTCTGGTCAACACTTCAAGTCTCATCATGAGGAAGTGTTTTCCTAAGAACCGTCTGCCTCTGCCCACCATCAAATCAGCCTTCCATTATCAGCTGCCACATGTACCTGCTGTAGGGCCTGTAGCACAGCTGTACAGCCAGCCTCCTGGGGGTGAGGACACACAGCACTTAGAAACACACACAGATCACTAGAGTGTGCTCCAGCTTATCACTGTCTTCGCGCACGCATTATTGTTTAGTACAGACACGGGCACTATTTTACTGCAGTCATTGCTGCTCGGTTCAGTCCTTCATACCATACAGACACAAAAATAATGTCTAAATCGCCGGACCGACAACATTGTTAATGGGAACACTCTTGACACTGTTGCACACAATGTGCCTTTCAGGAAGAACAAGCCATCAGCTCAGCAACAAGCCCTTAAAGAAGGGTAAGACGTACATAATCTTCACGTCGCGTAGATTCACTCACTATTGCTTTCTCATTCACTTCACGTCACACTCTTAACGTCACTAACACATGACATGTGTTAGTAATAAAGATGCATAGTGTACATTACATTGTGTTTGCTTTCCACTACCAGATCAATGTGCTTGCATTATACTGTAAACTAATTTTCTGCCTTCATTAAGTCCACAGGCTTTCTGATGAAATGTTTTGTTTCTTCTTCCTTCAGTCTAATCTAAAATGAAAAATATCCTATCACAGTTTTATTTCATGTAGCATTGTGCTTATTTTAATTTTGAAATTCCACACATGACAAATTTTCCTCTTTTGTGTTTTGAACAATGCAAATCAAACCGCTGGCAACCCGCCACAGCCTCGGTGCTAAGTGCTGATTTGTTTAAGTTTCCAAAAACATGTCAGTGATGTCAATACTACCAACCGTGGAGAAACGTGTAAAAGCACAAGTGACTGCTAATACATGGACTTGTTAGTAAGACTCCCAGCTCATTTTGAGTTTGTGTTTGAAGAAATATCTTCAGTATTTCTTCTTTTCTCTGGATTACTCATCTCGTGATCATGGCTGCTTACATCTTTTTGTAAACATTTTCTCTCTTTCAATCAAAGCAATTAGACTCGGTTACTAAGATCACCAGAGCTCTACTAGTGGTGGTTCTGGAAAATAGTAAAGGCCCGTCTTGGGTGAAGAAAAAGTATTGGGTAAATAACTTCTGTGCATGTATGTGTCTTACCCAGTGGATGATGTGGTGGATGAAAGCGACGACAACGAGGAGACCGAGGCAGACTCAGATACTGAGAATGAAGAGGATGAGAAGGATCATCGCTCTGCGGTAATACTCAGCGCTCACATGTATACGCCACATTTCACACGACAACATTAAATGTTGCACTTGCCGTTTAAAGCATTGAGCAATTTTCCTCTGTGTGGTGGTGGTCTTCATTATTAAACTTGATCTATATATATTATAATTGGCGGTTTTGTGAAATGGCTTCTACTGCAAGTCCATGAGTCATACTGTATACTGTTATTGATATTTGCACTTCTTTAAATTTCCAGCTGAGGGCAGCCATAACTCACCAACCACAACTCACCAGCAACTGCCAAACACTCTCAAACCACTATGTCAAACATGTGTGACGTGTCTGACCCACCCATCACAACCAAATGAAACACAGATGTTGATTTCAAGTCATTCCTCAAAATAAGTGGATTTTGGGGACTTCTGTCATTTTCTTGTTATCGCTATTTCATTTTGTTACCCGTTTCCTCAATCTCATAATTAAAAAAAAAGAGAAACAGGTTTGATACAGATACAAATGCACAACAGACCATCTGAATTTTTACTTTTTTGTGTCCTCTCAATCAGAATGATGACATTGAAACCGACCTAAACAAGCTACATCCCAAAAAGACTCCTGGCCGTCCATTCGAAGAGTTGAGGCTCTATGAGAGGTTTTTCCTGGAGCTATCTGAAGACTTTCAGGTCAGTGTTTTCTACAGGACTCCTTGTTCTTCTTGTAACTGAAGACAGTTATTTTTGTTTCTGCTTCTATGTTTGGGTTTCATTGTTATGCTTGAGAAGGAATTCCACTCCCCGGTGGCAATGCATAATAAATAAGGCTATCTTTAGTGCCTAAACTGCAAAGTATTGTAGTTTTAGACCATGTGTATCAGTGTGTCTGTGTTTTGTGAGAATTACTACAAGACATAGTTTAGATTTTCACCACCATGGTCACTAAGAACATATATATTGTTCCTACAGGGGTTTAACTTTGAATGCTCAAAGAATACCTCCACCACATCTTCGTCAGCATCCTTCTCCTCATCATCAGCCTCGACTCGATCCACTCGGCCAATCATAGTGCCCACAGCTCAAGCCCTGTCCCCAAAGACCATCCCCATACCAAGCTCTCAGGAGGACTGCAACTCTATTAAACACACTCAGCCACCTCCCTCTGCTCCCACTCCCATCCCTCCCGTTCCTCTAACACCTCTCGAACTGGACACGATCCACCTGACCAAGGACCAAGACAAAAAAGAGGAGGCCCACATTCCTACTCCAGATGGGCATACGACCTTCACCAGGCCTCCTTCTCAAGGGCAGAGGATTGAACAGGAACTAGCTCATGCATTGGAGTGTGCCTCTCTAGACGAGGATAGGGCTCTGAATGCAGAAGAAGGATTAAAGGGAGTCAAGCAAGAGGGCTCTCCAGTCAACGCGACAAGGCACATACAGTCTCCTCTGCTCTTGGGGGGCATCGCTACACGCCGCGTGGGAGGTGGAGGCAGTAACTGGGGTTCAGATTGTGGCTCAGAGGGTGCCGAGGATGAGGGAGGGGAGGGAGCAGTCCTGGAGGTGCCGGACACGGCCCTCCTTCTGCCGCTGCATGACCCTGACTTGTACGTGGAGATGGTGAAGGGGACGCACTCTGTTCCACAGTACGCTGAAGTGGCTTACCCAGACTACTTTGGACATGTAGCTCCAACATTTAGGGAACCCCTCCTGGAGAGAGTTTACGGTGTACAGAGGTAAGATATTCAGCATGATATCTAAGGTATAAATAAAAAAACATGCAATTATAAGCAGCATAATACAACTAAAGAAGGAAATTAGTGTACCATCGTGTTTTTTTTTTTTTTTTTTTAAGAGAAAATGTAAAGAAATATCTTCAGGTATTCAGAATATTCTGAAGCTTTTGTAAATCTTTGACTAAACTAATTAAAGCCTGACTTGTGGGGCTGCAGACAGATGTTTAGGAACCTCAGTAACACTGATGTTGTTTTAGTAATGCTTTTTCCAAGGCTAAGTCAGAATACCAGCCGCAGTTTGCAACAAGTTAAAGGCCCCTAACGGTGATTATTTTTTACCTTGTTAATGTCCATAAGGAATCTTCTATACGCGGGGGAAAAAAAAAAAGATTATAAGGGAAAAAAGCAGTTTACACCATGGTCGAGCATTTCCACCCTGGAGCTGCAGTGTATCAATGACAGTCTCAAAAACTTGGATTCAAACTTCTGAGGTTGGAGCGAGAGAGGCAGGGACAAAGCAACAGTGTAGCCACACTTTAAGTCATTTTAAGATAGAAAAAGAAAAGAAAGACATGTTGCTTTGATGCACAGAGATGAGTTGTTTCAGGGTTAAATCAGTACCCAGAGACGGACTTTAAATCTAACCATGTGGCCACTTTGTGAGGCGCTCCTTATATACTTTCCAGTCTGTCAGCCTTTCTCACAGAATGCAACAGTTTACATTTTTAACTTTGCTGTACATGGAAGGTTAAGAAATTGTACTCAACCTAATTAACAAGCAATATTTTTAATGGAAAATATATTCCTCCATTCATTATGTTAACCAATAGGTTCTTTCTGGTTCTAACGCTGCAGGTCCAAGATATTCCAGGACATTGAGAGGTTGATTCATCCTAATGATATCCTGGATAAAGTAGTTTATGACCTGGACATTCCCAGGTGAGTTCCTGCTAACTTAAATCATGGCATCACTCTGGATAAACAGAGCTGCAATCATGACTTCTTGTCACCAGTGCATCAGCATTTGTTTTGAAGTGTTATTGTCCTTTGTCCTTTTCCTGATGATGATACTAAGAGGTGTGACATTCACAACGCAGATTGCTTCAATTTGTCATCAATATATTGAGAAGGGTAATGACTTTTCAAGAGTATAATTTGTCTCTTCTTAATATTGTGTTTGTTATGTTTCAGTTGTCCTGTGATTGAAGACAATGGCGAGTCACTGAAGTTCAACTCTCAGTTTGAGTCTGGTAACCTCAGGAAGGCGGTGCAAGTTAGAAAGTAAGTACTTTTTTGTGCATCTCTTTTAATGGAAGGAGTGATACATCCACAATTGGATGACCAGTTTTAATTAAATCACATTTTATTATAATAATAACATTTAAAGCTGTGGGAAAAAAGTGTTACATTTTGTGTTGTTTATGGTTGTTGTATGATGTTTGGGTCAACAGTTTATTTCGTGGTGTTTTTCCAGATTCGAGTATGACCTTGTGCTGAATTCAGACATCAACAGTAATCATTACCACCAGTGGTTTTACTTTGAAGTGAGCGGCATGCGCGTTGGAACCACCTACCGCTTCAACATCATCAACTGTGAGAAGTCAAACAGCCAGTTCAACTATGGTGAGAAGCAAAAGGACCATCTGACCCACATAGGATTAGTACTGTTTTTTCTTTTTTTAATAAACGTTTCATTAAATTAGACAGTGTTGGAATCAAAGGCACAATGAAAATATAGAACACTGATTAGTGAACTGAACATCAGACGGCATAATTTAACTTTTTTGCCTCTCTGCTTGTGTATGTGCAGGTATGCAGGTGCTGATGTACTCGGTGCAGGAGGCGATCAGCGGCAGGCCTCGCTGGGTCAGAACAGGAACAGACATCTGTTACTACAAGTAGGTACACTCAGAATGGAGGGGAGCTGGGGATATACTGAGGGCAAACGCAAACCTTTTTATCAGCGTCACAGTTGCAGGGGCAGGATCCCTGTCTTCATGCAGCATATGGATGAAATACATTTTATCTATCAAACAATGTAAGGGGAAACTCAAATCATTGATACACACTGTATAATTTATCGAGAACAAAAGCAAAACCAAAATTATTAACCTCCTCCTACCTGGACAGATTGAATTGGTGTTATGTGATGATTAAGGGTTTTCTTCTTCTTTTTTTAATTTTTTTTGACCAGTGTATATGAAGCACACTCTTGATTATTTTACAGCATTGTGCCTATCTATTTTATAGCTTTCTACATTAAGAAGAAATAAAATGAGGTAGAATTAATGGACAGAGTGCAGAAACACTTTCAAAAAGCATCCGTCACTCTGACTTACACACCCTCTATAGGTTGGTATTTTATTGGATGCATCAGTGTAATCCTAACACTGCTCAGTTCAATTTTAGTTTAAACTTTATGATACCTAAAATGTTACATTTCTTAAATGGGGTTCCATATTTATGTACATTATGGGGGAAGAGTATTAGAAACACCTCTGCAGTCACATTAATACATGCATTAATACATTTCCAACAATGTTATCAAGACCTGAGTGTTATATAGTAGGTAGAGTGTCCTTAAATTGTGTTGTATAGGGCTGCAATAGATTATACAAGTATATGTCACAAAGCGACCTTTGTATGTGTTATGAGTGCTGCTGTATGTTGTTCAGTTCATGAAATGTTCCTCCTTTCTCGATAGGAATCATTTTGCAAGGAGTTCCATTGCCGCTGGTGGTCAGAAGGGAAAGTCCTATTATACCCTGACCTTCAGCACAAACTTCAGCCACAAGGATGATGTCTGCTACTTCGCCTACCATTACCCTTACACATACTCTACACTTAAGGTAGTATTACAGTGCCAGTGTTTGCTTTAGCATTTAGTAATCTGATCCCCCAGTCTAATTTTGCTCCCTGCAAAAATGTCACTACCTCTGCATAGGGAATACCTTTAAATGTTGAGCTGACATTTTGGTGCTCCTACATATAGTGTGTTAGCATGCACGATTCTCCTGTTGCTAAACATCCCAAACCCTCAGTATAAAACCAGATGCAGCTCCCCCTTATAGATACTTTCGATTTGTTTCTACTGCGTTGTCATTTATTTGTCCTTCAAGACAACTGCTGTGCTCTCAAACGACTATACACTCATTATATTAATAGTTATGTAATTATGATTACATTTTGTCTGTATTTATCTAGGGCAATGCTGCACAATTGCTTATAATACAAGCATCAAAAGAGAGGCTCAATCTGAATCACTTGATTTCAAGTGGCCTAATAAATAGCCAGTGCAACAACACATCAGCAAAATGTCAAAAAAAAAAGACAAGAGGAATGGAGGCCTAAATGGAAGTTGTACATAATAGTATTAGTAACAGAGAAATAAAAACTGTAATTTGTCATTGCAAACAGATGCACTTGTCCAAACTGGAGGCTTTAAGAACACCTCAGATCTACTTGAGACAGGACGTACTGTGTGAAACCCTCGGAGGAAACAGCTGCCCTCTTCTCACCATCACTGCCATGCCAGAGTCGAACTCCAATGATCACATCTGTCAGTTTAGTAAGTGAAGCAATTAGTCTGTGTACATGTGTCTTTACTTACTCGCTATCACATTGTCATACCTGAGCAGAGCAATCTCAGGTGTAGGATTTTCATATATTGTGGAAAAAGTGAAAAGCAATGAAGCTTCACCAGTCACAGTGCTACTCTCTAGAACAGGGGTGGGCAATCCTGGTCCTCGAGGGCCACAATCCTGCATGGTTTAGATGTGTCCCTCTTCCAACAGACCTGATTCAAATGATCAGCTCATCGTCAAGCTCTGCAGAAACCTGATAACGATCCTGATCATTTGAATCAGGTGTGTTGGAAAACGGAAACATCTAAAACATGCAGGACTGTGGCCCTCAAGGACCAGGATTGCCCACCCCTGCTCTATAACAAGCTAAACAGGTAAACAAGGGATTGTGCAAACAGTGTGTTGGATGTTTGTTGTTTATATCCAGGTCTGATATTAAAGGTTTCCTCAGTTACAAATTTGCTCACTGACAAATGCAATTTGACATTTTTAGCATGCCAATTCCGCCTTGACTGCCGGGAATAGTCCCCATAACAAAGTAATCTTGGTTTAGAGGTCCTGCTCTGTTGCTTTTCTGAGTTTCATAAATTGAACTCTTTCAGGCAAAGACTACGTGTCTTCACTGTGTTGATGTTTGAGTCACTTTAGATTGTTTAGTTCCAAGTAATATTCATGTAATATATGAGTTAAACCTCCTCTGCGCCCTTTAAAAGACGAAGAAATTCACTTATAACAGACAGAAATGTTTCTCTCTCACTGATACTTTGAGAACATTTGGATGAATAGAACCGAGAACACCCGTTGGGGTACCAGGGCATGTTAGAATTTCCCAAATAGGTTTGCAGTCCAGCGTTGTTCACTGACACAGTTTCTCAGCTGTGAAAAACTTGAAATTGAAGATTTTTTTTTCTTCTTCTTCCATCTTCCTGTGCTTGTGTTTGTGCTGTGCTCTCGCTCTCTCTCTCTCACTCTTCAGGGAATCGTCCATTGATCTTCTTGTCGGCCAGAGTGCACCCCGGAGAGACCAACGCCAGCTGGGTAATGAAGGGCACGCTGGAGTTCCTGATGGGCACCAGCCCGCTGGCAGCCAGCCTGAGGGAGGCTTACATCTTCAAGATTGTCCCCATGCTCAACCCTGATGGAGTTGTAAATGGAAAGTGAGTAAAAAAGACTTTGAACAAAATTAACACACACTCCCAACTTTCAGCTATACACACTGAAGACGCAACACATCCGCTGAACCTGGGCCTGCACGCTGGTCACAGCTTTATGTATATTAACACACACAAGATCTTGTCTCGAAGGATTTCTCCAGCTGTTGCTCTTTGTCCTCCACTCTGTATCCTTCCCCTCTTTCGCCATCTCCTTTCTGCTGTAGTCATCGTTGTTCTCTGAGTGGAGAGGATTTGAATCGCCAGTGGCAGAATCCCAGTCCTGAGCTCCACCCCACCATCTACCACACTAAGAGCCTGCTGCAGTACCTTGCACACATACAAAGGGCACCACTGGTATGACCTCTAATTAACTGGACCTAAATTACTTTGGGGCATTTCGCCACATCATTTTTCATTGACTCCTTGTTAATAATGGTGCCTTTTTTTCCCCCTGTTCAGCTGCACATGCTGTTTAGCTGCATGTTTGCTAAATTTCACTAAAATTTAACATTACTAAATCACCACATTAGTTTTACGACATTAACGACTCGCCATAAACAACCATCTCTGCTGGTTCTGTGCTACACTTTCTGTCAGCAAGTTAGATGTAATGGGTAATTCTTTTTATGGAAGATTTGTTTACAGTCCAAAGGGTTGTGCATTAAAGGCACAAAGCAATGTGAGACTGCAAGGAGCGCAAATGGACCTCAGGTTTACTCAGGGAAATGTTGTTCTCTGAGTCACCAGTGTATTATTTATTTAAAGCATAAGAGTGCATGAGTTTTGTTTTGATGATGATACAAAAAAATTAGCATTGGTGTATAACAGTTCCTCGTGCTCGTGTATATTTTATTTATTATTTTTAAACATTATTTTAATTATTTTACCACTTCAGTACCAATGTCTTAGGGCAAATATACACGATATACAACCTCAGTCTCTTTCTCCCTCCACTTCCTGTCTGTGTATGCGTGTCTGTATGTGTGTGTGTGCGTGTGTGTATGTGTGTGTGTGTGGGTTCACAGGTGTTCTGCGACTACCATGGTCATTCCAGAAAGAAGAACGTGTTCATGTACGGCTGCAGTGTGAAAGAGACAGTCTGGCAGTCCAATATTAGTGCAACATCGAGTTACTTACAGGAGGACCTTGGATACAGGGTGAACACACACACACACACACACACACACACACACACAAAATGTGTTTGTAAGTCTACAAAAGTAATGCATAAACTCAGAACTTTCCCTCTATTTTAAATTAATGTTCTCACATCTGTGAATTTTAAGTGCAGTGAACTCAGTCTCAGTACGATCAGGTCGCCATTTTTAAGTTATGCTCCTCTTACCTCTGAAAAGGTATGCTGTCAGGCAGCTCATATTTGAACCAATCAGCTGCAACATTAAACCACTGACAGGTGACGTGAATAACATTGATTATCTTGTTAAAATGGCACCTGTCAACGGGTGCGATATATTAGGCAGTAAGGAAAAGTCAGTTAATCAAGTCGATATGTTGGAAACAGGAAACATAGGCAAGTATAGGAATCTGAGGGCCACAGTATGACGGCTATTCTATACCTACCAAAAGTTGTCTGAGGAAGGACAACTGGGAAGCTGCCGACAGGGTCACGGGTGCTCAAGGCTAAGTGATGCACATGGGGAGTGAAGGCTGCCGTGTGGTCCGGTCCCTCAGAACAGCAACTGTGGCACAAACTGTTGAAAACCTAATGCTGGCTATGATAAAAAGTGTCAGAGTGCATTACAGCTCGCTGTGTACTGGGCTGTGTAGCCACAGAACAGTCAAAATAGCCGTGCTGACCGCTGACTGTGACTGAAAGTGCCAAGAACCCAACAATGGAGGAAGACGGCCTGGTCTGATAAATCATGTTTATTCTTTTACGTCATATGGACAACCGGTTCGTTTTTTCTTCTCCTACCTGTTGCCTTGGATTTTCTTATTCAGTTCGGTGTAAATCCCTAATTTCTACTATATATGTAATGACACCTCATCTGTTGGCTTTTTTACACTGATGCCACCTCTTGTCTGACACACATGGTCAAATTTGTTTTAGTTTACTTACAAAATTTTACTCATTCATTTTGAATGTTCCTCTACTCTGGGAAGAATGTATTTTTTCTTTACTTTCACTGGTACCTCTGTGCATTCGGGGATGCAAACAAACTGATTTTTTGCTAAGCAGAATGCTTATAAAGTAGCACAACACAGAATTTCCTGGTGGACATACAGCTTCAGGCTACAAACCTACAGCAAACTCAGTGCTGCTCTGTATGCACACCTGCTGGACACAGTTGTGTACTTCGTCATCTGCCCCCCCAGTGCACTAACGCACACACACACCTACACAAAAAAATTCAGACGTCTCAAACAATTCCATGTGTTTCTCAGGCGCTTCCTAAGATCCTGTCCCAGATCGCCCCAGCCTTCAGCATGGCGAGCTGCAGTTTTGTTGTGGAGCGCTCCAAAGAGTCAACTGCCCGAGTAGTTGTGTGGAGAGAGATCGGCGTACAACGCAGCTACACCATGGAGAGCACGCTCTGTGGCTGTGACCAGGGCAAATATAAGGTAATTATTGGGTATGGATGAATAAAAGAGCAGGCCAGGGTTATGCAGTTCAAAACAACAACCTTGCAATTATTATTTTTTTACTTCGATCAGCTTCTAATTTAGATTTTTTGTTGAGATTGTGGACTAATATATATATGTAAATACTAATTAGTGAAGCATAGTGTAGGAGGCCAGAGAAATTAACTTTACAAATCTTAACAAAGACTAACCTTTTACAGAGAATTCCTTTCTAAGCAGGTGTGTTGGTTACTTTTCTTTTCACTTAGTTTTCCTTTACTTTAAGGGAGTTGCCCCCACAGATCTCCACGTGTCCACCAGGTGGAGCTGTGGTGCTTCTCTTTTTTCCCCCCTCTTACTCTTTGCTTCCTATCTGTCCTTTCGTCTCCTTCCCTTTTGGCTGCCTTACCTCCCTTTCTTCCCACTCTTCATGTCTTTCCATCCCAGCTGATTTCCTTTCTACTCTATTTTGCCAATGTCAACATCTAACATATTCAGAGTCTTGGGATACCATTTTGGCTCTGATTAGCACCCCCCACTGGTTTGTGTGGAAGTGTTTGTCCAGATGTGCAGGAACTAATGTCTGTTGAATTGCGGCTGCATATCTCTGTGGCCAGGCCAAGTTTAGATGTTCCTAGCTCTACTCTGGGGAAAAAAAGGAACATGAAAGTTTTTTGGTTCAGTTGGAGGTTAGCTTTGTGTGTGTGTGTGTGTGTGTGTGTGTGTGTGTCCCTATGCGAGTCTTCATTTACTCATATGACTGAACAGTGCTGTGCATGCTTTGGTAGGGTTGCAGGTGCATATGTGTTTGAATGTGCGCTTCCTCAAAATGAAATGTATTATCATGTTTCGACATGAAAAGTTTCCTCGCCAAGTGCTTTGCAGCATTGAGAATTGGGCCGTTTGAAGATGGACAATGGCTCTATCCCCAGGCTCCACAGCAGCTATAAAAACCCACAGCAGTCATTTTAAAGTAGATTTCAGTCAGACCTTTGTAGTTATTTTGAAATGTATCTGTATATTGAAAGCGCCTGCAAGTTTGTGTGACTGATGCTTTTGTGTGCGAGTATTTTCCTGGCGAACGTATTAGTGTTTGAATTCTTTGTGACACGCACACGCGTCCTCTCCAGGGTCTTCAGATCGGCACCAGGGAGCTGGAGGAGATGGGAGCTCAGTTCTGCATGGCCCTGCTCAGGCTGAAGAGGCTGACGGGCCTCCGCAACCACCAACACCTGCTGGATTTGGAAAGCGATATCATTGGGACGCAGACTAAAGTGGCCAGGTCAGTAATGTGCAACATGCTTCAAACTGACACGCACACACTTAATTCAATACGCTGAGAGACTCGTGAAACAAACCATATGAGGCTGAAGTACAGATGGGTGACAAATTAAAGGCAAAAAGCTGAATGCTTGGTTCCCACAGCGAGATCATCCCGTGGCTCTGTTATGTGAGGTAGGAGCATTTTGCCGGCATGGATTGGATCCACTTGTCCTCTTAGAGAGAGAGGTCACTGCAGTGGTCATCTTTATCCTGTGATGAGAAGAATGTGGTGGTAGATTTAGTTTATTGTTGTTTTCTTTTCTTCTGCATTTTATTTTAGATGTTTTTCTTATATATATGTTTAATTTAGACCTAAAAGTTGACAGACAGGAAATTATTTTTGTTTGTTTTGCCTTGATTTAAATCATGCAGATTAAGTAAAAAATCGTTCTAAATGATCACCTTTATCCTAGGACCAAACCTTTCTCTCCTAATAGTAGTGTTAGGTCACTGAATGGTTTGATGAAAATGATGTAAATCATTTGCTCTGGCCTTCACAGTCACCAGATCTCAACTCAACTGAACATCGAATAACAGATTTTGGAGTGCTGTGGTAGACAGCGCCCTCTATCACTGTCATCAAAACACCCAATGAGGCAATGTCTTCTGGAAGAATGTTGTTCAGACTTCCAGAGACGTAGAGAACCGATGCCAAGACATTGGCCCTACACCAGATACTTTATGTTGATTTTCATTTAATTCGCCGCCCTTCTTTCTCTGCTCTTTAATTTTATTGAAGTAACAAAGCAGGCTTGAATCGCTGATGTCATAAACCTTCTTTGTTTTTCTTTTTGACTTTCTGGATGTTGTTATCCTCATGCAGCCTTCTAAAAATATATGAGATTTAAAAATTTTTTTGCTATGAGTTCTATTTGGAAGGCAGAAAGCAGTTATAGGCTTTTTTTTTTTTTTTATCTGCACGAAACATCCTTAATGCTGCCAGATACATCCCCCCTTGGTACTGATACTCAGCGGTGTGACTGTCACTCCGGCTCTCCTCTGAAGAGCTACTCAAGAAACAAATGAAGGCCTGCATTTATGCAGGGCTGCTGTGAGCATCATTGAAATTCTATCAGTGATCATGTGTGATGAATATAATGAAAACTCTGGAGTGAGAGGGGAGCGGGTATGAATAATTGTCTGTAGTGTCAGTATTTCTCTAAGATAGGGCACAACACAGTCTCACTATCTTTTTATGTGTGTGTGTTTGTTTTTGATAAAACATTTACATCTACGCGATAGAGTTCTCAGGGCCACATTGAACAGTCGATGGCACAGAATTATACAATGTGAATTGAACATGACATCCAGTCTGCCTCCCTGCATAGTTGAAACATGCAAAAAGCAGAAAAGGAGTGTATTAATTAAATATTAGTGTCAGAGCCTTGACCTCGCCAACTTAAGTGTGAGTGTATTTAAAGGAACGGCAACGTTCACTCTGATGATAATTCAGCTGAAAGACCGGTGCTGGTCTCACCAATACAACATGTTGTATCTCTGCGTTGTTCATACCTACTGTCACATGGTGTTAAGTAATGATAACTATTGCAAAATTAACCAACAGCTCGAAGGGATTAGCCTCGCCCAGTCATCAGAAAATCAATCTTGGTGTCAGTTTTGGTGTTTTCATATGGAAAGATGTCAGCCATTGTGGGATTCCAGCTTCTTGATTTGTTGCTTTGTCGCTGTTTCGTTCTGCTTCAGACTAACATTTGGATAAGATAAGGCTTCACAAGTGCTATATCAGGCTCTGGGGGATTGCCATTGACTTTGTACGCTCTTACACTGCATAGGCTAAACGATTAAACTGTAGCTGTTACATTATTAAATACCGAAATTAACCGCTATATTTTCTAATTTAATTAAAAAACAGTAAGTGGAAGAGTAGTGAAATCATCCTTTTCCACACAAGAGAAGAAGTCAAGTATCAAGTTGATGATCCAATGTTAAGCATTTAGACATTTTTAGATTTTAAAGAAGAACCAAAAATAGAGTATAATGGTGAAAATATGAGCAGGGTTTTAACTCTAAACTTAGGATCCAAGCCTAAAAACAGACTCATTCAAGAATGGTAGTTGCACTCAAGTTTTTTCGGACTTCATCCATATTTTAAGGAATGACATCAGACAGTGAGTCAGCACTACTTTTCTTCATCCTAAAAAATAATAAAAAAATCCCCCCATACCTTCATGCGGTATCTAATCAACCTGATTGAAATTACCTGTTCAGAAATATGAGGTCCACACAGATTAGATTTAGTTCAACACAGCCAATAAATTATTAAATGTGGCCAAACCCAAGCTGCGACCACAAAGGTTATCTTAACTTCTTTTTATTTTTATATCACGTCAGCGTTCACTCCTCCGAAGCTTTGTTAAAGCAGTTGGTTCACAAGAGCGGCTTTATACTGGAAACCACTTAATGCTTACATCTCTTTCTCTCTGCATCTCCCAGTCTCTCTCTCTCTCTTACTAACCTACTCTACTCTCATATTGATATATTCATTTATCATTTATGTGTGTGATCATTAAGGGACTCCAAATGTGTTCTGGTGCTTGTGTGTGTGTGTGTGTGTTTTCGTCAGAACCCTTTGGGATTGGTCCCTCTCATCCCGGATTTATGGGTTTATGCGTGGGGCTCGGTATGGTACCACTTACCATTTAAAAGGTCATAACAACAATGATACTGTGGCCATTGGGAGGCGTCTGCAAACAACTCGGTGTCTCCGAGTGCGTAAATGGGTGGATGCGAGCACGGGTCTGTTTTTTTTTGTGCGAGTTTAACGAGGACAAAATGAGAAAGGTATTAAGGGGTTTGCAAATGTGGAGGTTTGTTCTTATGTCACTGACAGTAATTGGGGTTTTAATGTTCATCTATGGATCTTTCTATTAGACTCTCTATGAAGATAACTGCAGCCGGTGGATACTGAAAATGTAGCCCAAAGAAAAGGGAAAAATTGGGTTTGGTATTTCTGTAATGGCCCCGTAATGGCTGACACACAACTTTCACTATCTGTTTGGACAACATACTGTCCATCCACATCATTACACACACACACTCTCACACACACATTACCTCAAACACACATTTACTGTACATATACTGACGCACTATTTCTCTGTATCTCTGTCTCTCTCATGCACTCACACTCCGGCGAGCTTGGTGGGAGATCATTGTCTGAGCCCCCTGATCGACTGTCTCCCTGGGATCACATTTCAGACCATTAACACCATTAAAAACCCACTAAAGCCACTAAAACCTCAAAGAACCAGCAACCATTTAACCATTAAGACCCATAGGAGGGGAAAAAAAAAACAAAACAGCCTGACTGGTTGGAACACACGAAGCACCGTTTGTTAGCAGCCTTTTAAAAATATATGTTAATGTTTGTAATATTGTCGTAGACTTAGTGTCTGTTGTTGGGACGTTTTTCAAGCAAAATATTAGCATTTTGTTTTGGATATATTTTTGATTTTTATCTGTTATTAATGGATAGAAAATTACACAGCAGCAATTTTAAGAAGCAAGAAGATTTTTTTGCCTTTATTTTAGTAGCACAGAAGAAATAAACAAAGAGGAAATATGGAGAAGGGAGGAGGAGAGTGACATACAGTAAAGGTCGAACAAGCCGGAAGTTACACTGGAGACTTGGCCTGTGTGCCACTCGGCCATTGTTTGTGACTCATCGATGATTTAGGTCGTTCATCGAGCAAAAATGCTTCACATTCTTTTCTTCCAGTTTGCTGCATTTTGTGTTTTATAAATTTGGCAAAACAGGAATTTTGTCTTTTTATGAACTAAATAAAAATAAATCAGATAATTGATGCATCAATTAGTAATAAAAGTAATCAATAGCCCTACAGTTATTATTTTCAATTCTTTAACTAAACATGTCATGAAGCCAAACAAACATGGTTCTTTTATGTATTTATTTACTTTATTAAACCTTTCAACTAAGAAAAGACTGGTTCAGATAAAGAATATCAGTGTCCTGACAGCCATGTTTGTGTCTTTGTGATTTCAACAAATGAATGTCACATCTGTATGTTTTGAAGGACAGCCTGCGACAGCTTTTTCACATCATAATAACTCTCAGTTAAATGTCAATGAATCTGTGACACTTGTGTGAATGACTTTATATTTTGTTCTCCAGCAGCTGCTCCACCACCTATGTACTGGAGGAAGACGAGCCGTCCTTTCTGGAAGCGATAGACTACAGCGCAGAAAGCAACGACGAGGAGGCGGAGCCTGAAAACGAGCACACTGGCGAAGTTCACGAGCATCCCGATCAGCTGTCGGACTCTGATACTAATCACAGGGACCAGTGTTGAGGTGTTCGTCTCCTCCACACCTGGCAGTTTGAGCTTTTAACCAGCCAGTGCCTGGGTTGATAGCTGGTCTAAAAAAACATAAACACACAGGTCAAATAGTCAGAACCCGCACCTCTCACTTTGACTGGTGGATAAATAGATTAGATTTACACCTGACCCTATTGTATAGACACTTAACAATGGTACGTAGGCACCCCTCAGGTGCTCTTCTCCCAGACGGATTTGTTTTGCTGGAGCTGACCAGTCGCTCCTGTGCTCCACCTGCCTTTCACTTCTGATGGACTGATAAGAGGCACAGTAAGAATCAGGATGGATTTCAATGAATGTTTCCACCTTTCACCACTATACTATAACCTTCATGAACTGTAAACCTTGACCTCAGACACCATATAGCCTCTGAGATTCACATATAGCTATCCAGAGCTGCAAACAGCAGGCAACGCCGATGCTTAACTTGAACCCTTGTTCACTTATCCTTTTTTCCAAAGTCAATCTTACAGTGAAGCGACTTTCCAGGGCTGTGCTAGTGTTATAGACCCAGTGGCTTCTCTAGTTTTTAAATCCTCTCTCACCTGTGAGATGAAAACACTCTTCCAGGTGATGGAGGGAAACTGGATCTCCCCCCCACCGACCAGCTTAGAGATCCAATCACCTGCCTTCTTATTTCCTTTATTCAGTCTTACCCTGCACTTTAACTTTATACTCCTTTAGTTGGTTTAGGCCTTCGTTGCTTCCCTCCTTCTTTGCTTCTGTTTTTTTTCTTTCCCCCCCCGACAAGCCAAGGTATCTGTGTCTAAATGGGATGCAGGGACGACCAAACAGCTCTCATATCTTAACATCCCAAGTGTCTCATGCAGAAAAACCTACTCAGATGTTACTACACTTGAGCCGTGACCTCACTTCTTCTCCTCTGTAAAACGCCTCCCTCTTCGGCCACATGGTCCGATCGCCCATGTGCTGTTTGCCTTGCTTTATCCAAAACTATATCACACAAACGTAGAATGTTCACGTCTTTACGACAGACCTTGTACAGTACATGAGATGCAGATGTAAACACCACAAACTAACACAGGTAATGGTTTGAGTTCCTTCATCGTCATCATCATCACGCACAACAGTTTAAAAAGGAATGTATAATATCCACGTGCACTCTTGGTGTTTTTAAAATTGTAGACGGTAACTATAAAAGCTGTAACGAACAAGACGCATGAGCCGCAGAGAGCAGGAGACCCTGTTGCACTTTGGACAAACACTATACATGCAAAACAAAGAAACTGAACAAAGAGTCACTTTACACGTCACAGTTTGCAAAAACCTCAACGTCAGTCACCTCATTAGTTTTAAGTTCTCGGAGTCAGAGTAATGTTTTAAAAGCTATACTGGAATTTAGTTTCCTTTTTATCCCTCCCTCATGTGTGTACATTTTGTGGATTTACTTAGGAGAGACCCGTGCATTAAAAAACAAAGACGGTGCTGTGTATCAAGAGTATAAAAGAGGTTGTTTTCTTTCTCCATTTATGGAGATGAGGTATGTTTCTGTTGCATTTGTACAAATAGCGCATGGCTCTTTTTTTGTTTTTTTAATTTATTAAATATTGTTTCTGGGATGCATCCTGTATGTGTGTGAGTCATTTTCAGTGTGCGAGCGAGCACTGTGTCTGTCTGTCTGTGTGTGTGTGTGCAGGAGTTTAAGTTATTCCATTATTCAGCCGGGCTAATGCTCTTAAAGTGTGTTTCTTCTTTCAATTTGATTATCCACTCTCACTCTCCTTCACTCCCCCAATAATTTTCTCTCTCTCTCTCTCTTCTTCCTTCTAAACCCCCCTTTTCTCTCTCGTCATTTTTATGTCTTTCTCTCGGCTCTACTTCCTTTCAAATTTTTGCTCGTGAACATCTTAAAAAAAACCCAGAGACGCTATTGTGCTGGGTTTGTGTATGTGTGTGTGTGTGAGGAATACGTGTAATGTATGTGGAAATAATGTCAGTACAAATACGAGAATTGCTGTTATATTTATGTTTGTAGCAGTTTATGTCGACACAATGCTGGGCTACTTTTTGTTATGTTGGGAGGTAAACAAGTGGAGATAGCAGCTCATTTTAAGTTGATTGTAACGCAGAAAACTGAAGCTACGAGTGTAGACGTGGGAAATAAAATGTGAATATAGCAAACTGCTCCATGTCGTCTTGTTTTTCTTCTTACTCAAAGTGTTCCGTATATTGAGGTGCTTCGCCACACTCGCACATGTTTCCATAAGCCTCGCCTGAATGAACATTAAATTCACATAACATTTGTCCTCATGAAGACAATTTTCTTCAGACTGAGCGAAGCAGCTGTAATGGATCCTAACCGAGTTATTGGTGTGACTGGCAGACCAAACCAGAGGTGCGGAGGGGAACGTTTTTCTTACAACCTTAGTGTTCTTCCACATTTTTTGGCTTGAAATCTTTGGCAGATATTGGTTCAGAAAACTGCATTAAAGTGGATCTATTTAAACAAATATGTTTTCAGAGCGCCATGTAACTGAATCCTTCCAATCAGCCCGTGAAGGGAAAAAAGCTGGTTTGTTAATCATGCATCCATTAAGGGATTCATGTTTTCTCTATCATGAAAACATCATGAAACAAGATGCCATATGTACATTTGAAGCACTGTTTGTTGATGTTTTGTCATTATTATTCCTGTCCACGCTGAAAAGATTTCCTTCCTAAATCCACAATCCTCATTCTGTGCAGGAAATTATTTCAAAGTTCAACACTGTTAAAATGAGACTTCAGTTGGCTGAGTTTGACAAATTAACTGGGTATCTTTCAGAGTGTAAACACGGAAACACTGTCTGTGGAAACAGAGGAAGATTTGCTATAAAAACAAAGTAATTTTGGAAGATATCCACTCAGACTGCTCAAACATATTAGCTTCTGCTGAAATTCAGAAAGCATTTTTATTTCCAGTCTCTTAGACTGAGATTGGATTAGAAAGGGGATTTTATTCACGGCTGTTGTGGAGCAACAATGACAATAACAAATTTCTGTCAGTGTTCATGTCAGCATGCGAGTACTGATGAAGAAAATGTTTGAAAAGGTGAACCTGCATCTTAATTCTATCCCATATGCAGCCACATACGGTGTTTGTTGTCAGAAGCCTGGTGACTTCAGTAGACTTTGCATCTTTTTTAAAAATGGAGAAATGTTTCATTGGTGAATCTAAACAGATCTGTTTCAAGGTCAGCAACTTGTCAACTCTTTAAACATCCCCTCCAGGCACGTTCAAAGATACAGCGTTGAAACACT